GGTACCACCAGACACAAAGCTATCCAAACTAGACACTCTAAGACTAGCTTCTAGTTATATAGCACATTTAAAACAGATTCTCGATGACGATAAGATGGAGGGTAATGAGAACACTGGACCGGAAAGTCCCGTCATTGACACTGAAAACAACAATAACACAATAAATGGGCACGTTCACCCGCTCAATCTGGTAGGTGTGACTCCTAGCATTTTATTCTCTCTTTGAACAATCTCATGATTTCAATAATTGATATCGAATTACTTCATCGATGTTTGTGTTATTGCTATTACGTTATATATTGAGTGTATTTTGGACATCTACGGCAAAAAACTCTGAAGTGTTTAAAGTAAAATGTTCTTCAACATAATATGAACTATAGCAGAAGGGAATTCAAGATGCAGAATTTTTGTCTCGTTTTAGTTTATAGATTAACAGTAGATGGATATGACAAGTGATGCTGTGAGCAAAAATATTGGAAAATTGTGACAACATGACTGTTTCAATGTTATTCTCAACTTGTCTGTCTTTTACTGCCCCTTTAACAGCCATGTGTTTCTTCCATTGTTTACATCAGCAATACACCATTCTTCACTTACTTACTCGTGCTTAGTGCTCAGTCCGATCCAGGATGAAGATTTTTTCTCAAATTTAGGTCGTTTAGAATTGCACATTTATCGACGTAAGATAAACACTATAACCCGGCAAAAGACTCCCACCTTACACTTCTAAAGTCCTTTAATTTTAAATTGGTGTTTTTACATAATTGACAAAACATTTTAATAGGCTACCCGTAGCTCTTTGTTCATCTTGAATCAATAGACTAAGACATAAATATTTTTTAAATCAGAGACATAAAAACATATGTCTTATATATGTCTCTGTTTAAATATGACAAATTCTTTTATTTGTGAATGTGTTGATTTTACAGGGGTTACATATCTGTAGAATATTCAAAACCGAAGGCAGTTTTTCACCGCTTGCATTATTTAAAATTAATGTTAACATAAAAGAATATCTATTATTTTAAAAACATCATTGACATTGGGTTATACAACAATTAAAAATCCATTACATATTCTGAGAGAAACATTAAAGAGCATTTGCTAGTTGTGTATTAACTCATCTGAGAAAATTAAGGGGAAATAGTGGTTGCTATCACAATAAAAATATGTCTTTATTCAAATTAATTTGTAAAATAAATACCATGTAAAGGTTAAATCATGTAAAGTCAAATTCAGGGGGTTTGAAAAACACATAAAATGGAATTAAAAGAATTTCAATGATGTTTACTCATTTATCAATGTCGTCATCCACAGATGAGTTCAGAAGACATATAAATGGATGGATTGTCAAGGAACCAGCTGCAAAAATAAACGCAAGCAAGTGATTCAATCACACACCGCTTGCCTGATAACACCAGTGTGATAAGATACACCGCCCTCCATAAGTTCTGCAACTTGAAAAAGTCCTCTTTTAGATCATTTATCAAAGCCTGATTATGCATTTGCGATTTCAAAAATCATCAGATTTGTCATAATTTTCTGAACTATTGAAATACAGGAATAAATAAAATTAAATGAAGATTCAAACATTAACATGCTCATCACGCGGGTGTCAAATGATGATTTTCGGTTACCTAACTTATGTAGGGGAGTGTACATCGGTATGTTCTAAGAAGCAACTCCAAATGCAGCATTGTGACTTGTTTTACATGAACTTTAGAATCTATTTAGTTTTTCTCGGAGAGAGTTTGGAAACAGGTTCTGGGTGGCTTCCCTCGCTAACAAATACTAATTTTATAGCAAATAGTACAAATAAGCTGAATTCAACCGATTATAGAGGCAGGATATTACGAAAATTATCTGACAATATCGTCACTTGAATGAGTGTCAAACAGCAAACGCGTCAATAAGAATAATTTTTTTGTTAATGAGCTTAATATAACTTTAAAAACTGTATTTTGGCTAGGATGAAGAAAAGATTTGATTCGAGGTTTTGGAAAGAACTTGGCATTTTTTCTTTCAGACAATATGTGGGTGAACATAACGGAGAGAGAATAGTTTTTCGAAAGGGAATTTGTAAACGTTCCTCTTCAGGGTGGTGATGTTTTTCAAACTATTATTTCTTCATCCATCCTTCAAATATCATCTTCAAATCATCATCATACTGTTTAATTATAGCAACTCGTGGTGGATGGGTGTTAAGTAATTAATCTTTCCAGAGCAGTCATTCTACCAAGGCCAGTCCTCCTATCAATTAAACCATATGTAACGACCCATCTTTAACGGCTGTTCAGAATTAAAGTTATATAATCTTAAAATAATTGTTGTAATAACAACTCTTTGATTGAGACCAGATGATAAATGACACAGTACATCTTTAGCTTTCTGATGCGATAATAGTTGACGTTCTAAAGATTCCATCTTCACCCTACGCAGACGGTGCTTGCAGATAACGCTTGGTGTGGATGTGGATTTAACGATCATTATCACACCGAAGTTCGTGGGGGATATAGAGAAGCCGTCAGTTCGTTCATCCGTCCGTTTGTCCCGGCGATATCTCAAATACCGGTAGACGGATTTGATTCAAATTTTGTAGGCTAATGCGGTGCCGTATGGGTGTAGGGCCTCTGCCCGGGAAGGAATTTTCAATATGGCCGCTCAATTCAAAATGACCGCCATTTTTCGTATAAAAGGTAATCCTTTATTTGACGGGTTTGGTTCAAGTTTTATATGCTAATGCCTAGGGACAAAGTAGCTTTGCTCATGAAGAGATTTTCAAGATGACCACTGAATTTCAAAATGGCCCCCATTTTATCGTAAAAACTTTTTGATGATTTGGTTCAAATTTTATGTGCCGATGCCTAGGGACACAGTAGCTTTGTTTGAGAAAGTATTTTCAAGATGGCAGCTGAATTTCAAAATAACCGCAATTTTGATAGTAATCTTTGGATAAGTCAAATACCAGTGAACTGATTTAGTTCAAATTTTATATGCTGATGCCTAGAGACACAGTAGCTCTGTTCGAGTAAGACTTTTTAAGATGGCGGCTGAATTTCAAAATGGCCCTCATTTTTCGTAAACAACGTCATCTTTAATAACTCAAGAACCAGAGTGAGCGGATTTGGTTCAAATTTTGTATGCTGATACCTAGGGACACAATCATTTTGTAGCTCTATTCGAGAAAAAATCGGCGTCGGTGAATTTCAAAATGAACCCTATTTTTCAAACTCAAATGCCAATTGACGGGTTTGGTTTAAATTTTATATGTTGATGCCTAGGGAAAAATAAATCTGCTCAAGGTAAAACTTTCAAGATGATGGTTAAATTTCTAAATGGCTGCCATTTTTCTTTAAAAACGTAATCTTTGATAACTCAAATAATACTGGATGGATTTGGTTCAAAATCTATATGATGATGCCTAGGGACAAAGGAAGTCTGTCCGAGAAGAAATTTTCAAGATGACAGCTGGATTAAAAATAGCCGCGATTTTTAGTAGAAGTATGTTTTATTTGATAAATCAAACACCAGAGGATGGATTTGATTCAAATTTTATATGCTGATGCTTAGAAATTTTGTTCGGTGAGATTTGCTACTCCGTGGAGTTGCTGTTTTTCTAGTTTATTTAGATTCGTGATATTTTATAAACCAAGCCGTGTTATGTTCAATTTTATTCAAATATGTGTAGGTGATACCTAATAGAATAAAATAGTTGTATTTATGTTGTTCATTCTATAGCAATGCAATCACGGGGTACCATCGAATAATTTTGGCAACGTACCGGAGAACGACATTTTACTAAGAAATGGCAATAATTTAGCACAATATATTTTTTAACTAGAGTTCTACTTTGATTTTGACAAAAGTAAGTATTCCATGCAATGGCTATTTCATTCATGAGTTTGTAGGAATTCTGTTGGAACCCAGTTCTGATCAAGTACGAAGTTATTGAAATCGGCGCAGTCGGACTTTACTCCGAAAGATGGTTTTTCGATTATAACTTTTTACAACATTTAAGTATAGACTTATGAAAAAAGTACAGAATAGTCCTTATACTATTGAATAATTCTGTTATTTCTGATTCACACGACTCTGATTTGTTTAATTAAAAAAAAAGTTTTAAAAATATTATTTAGGAACGTAACCGGAGCTGGGAACGTAACCGGAGCAGATCAGTTGAATTATATAATTTAAAAAAATAAAACATATGATTTAAAGCATATATATTAATAAATACGCATTCGAACAATCCCGTATGTTTTTAAATTAGTATATGTGCTTTAAATATATTTTAATTTTTTTGATTAAATAATTCAACTGATCTGCTCCGGTTACGTTCCCAGCTCCGGTTACGTTCCTAAGTAATATTTTTAAAACTTTTTTTTTAATTAAACAAA